GCAAGACCGAACACTCCTCCAAATTCTGGACCGGTTGGGCCGCGTTGAAACGCTTCTTGATAACCTGAATTCCCGCGGAGAGACTCAAATCCACCAAGCAGATAAATCGCCAAATCGGACTATAACCAACCCACCGACCCAAACACCTCCAACACCGACAGCGCAAACCGCTGCCAGGACTACTCCCGCAGAAACTCCATTGGATGACGATGAGCAGCTTACCATACCCTACCAGCATACCACTGCTGCACATAAGCTTCTCCGGTGGCCAAGTATCCGAAAACTAATCGACCCAGAGCTTCTGGAACAGGAAACCTATGCGATTGACGAAGAGCAAAACCGGGGTACATTAAGAGTGTATGGGAGAGGGGAAGAGTACAGCGGTGGGGATCCAAATTTCGAAGAGAGTGATTACTCTTGTTCAATTACAGCCAATTGGAGTATGTTATACAACACTGCTGGGAATGAATGGGATGGCGGAGGAGGAGAAAATAGAGGGGAAGATGAGATGCTGGAAGAACAGGGCATGTCAGACCACAATGGTGAAATGAACTCTGGCCTACCGGATTGCGATGTTGGTGGGCTTGGACCGAATGGAGTCCTTCGCCTCGACCGGCAGACCGTACAAGAACTTCTGAATAGCTACCTCACCCACATTCATATATTACATCCAATACTAGACAAAACAACGATCACCCACACGGTTTTCCGCTTTGCCGACCTATTCAATTCTCAAGGAAACGGTCCGAATCATGGGTTAGGGTTGGACAACGACACCAATGGCTCCGAAACGTCTGCACCACGGATCCATAGAAATAACTCGATGACCGGGAAGCGTAAGCGAGGCATGTCCATCCCCCGCCCAGTTCAGGCCCCTCATCCGGCAGGGCATGGGAATATACCGCGGACGGTGCACTCCGCCCTGGTACTCCTCGTTCTTGCTCTTGGGTCAGTGTGTTTGCATCGCCGTCCTATCCCGGGACCTCTCCCAAGAGCCGAATATCCACCCGATTACAGTGATCCAACGTCTCCTTTCAGACCATCCACAACACCGCCATATTCCTCCGATATGCCGCCATACCAGCAGCAACACCAGTACCCGAGAGGGACAAACAAGCCGGGGCTCAGGAATGTCGATGTGATTCCCGGGCTGGCATATTTTTCGCAGGCAATGGATATCCTTGGTCTATTGGTCGGTAGTAATGAGTTGGAAGCTGTTCAGGCAGGACTATTGGCCGGGCTGTATTGGGCTCAGTTGGCTCGAATCCTCGACAGCTGGAAGTGGATTTCATGGGCATGCATGGGATGCCAAATCTTGATTCGAATGTTTGTTCACCCTTCCTTCGCTCACACCCTGTCCAACGCCAGATCTCTGGGGTGGTTCCTCGCTGTGCCTGCTACGTGCCAAGGCCTGTGATGCGCTGCGTGATTAATTTGACTCACCTCCCCTAACAATGAACAGGAAATTGGCCTCGGAAAAAGACGCTCTCCGCAAGGACCTCATCCTTCGCGCGTTTTGGACTTGTCTCCAGCTTGAAAGCGACTTTCTTGCAGAACTTGACCTGCCGCCCAGCGGAATCTCCCGCCTCGAAGACGCCATGCTCCTCCCTAGCGGCATCGCTTCCCCTTCTGCCCATCCCGAAATAGTTCCCGATGATCCTCTGATTTGGATGTACTCACTTGCCCAGATAGCGCTCCGTAAGCTACTGAATCGCGTTCATACAGCACTGTACAAGCAAGACAAGACGCACCTCGACTCTCCACGTTCTCTTGCCATTGCGCGTGAACTTGACTACCAGCTCGAAGCATGGAAATCACATCTGCCCGTGCCCCTCCGCTGGGAATTGTCCGATCCACCGTCATCTGATATCAATGCAGCCCGTCTGCGCGCAAAGTACTTTGGAGCCAGATATATAATCCATAGACCTTTTGTATACCACGCACTGCATGGTATCGGAGTGCCCGAGAATCTGGGAAGCTATATTCATCCGGATTCGCCAGTGATTGATGAACAGAAAAGTGAGACTCGGGGCGATATCACACCTAACGAGCTGGAGATGGATTGCAGGAAATGTCTGGAGGCGGCTTTGCAGAGTACTACTGCGTTCCACGCCTTCGATCCGGATGAGATGAGGCCCATTATTACGAGTGTTTTTGGGACGGCACATGCGTAAGAACCCCCTTACTCGTGCTTGTACGTATACTTAACGACATTGATGGGCGCCCAGACAATTCGGAAATCTTTTGATACTCCAGGCTGCATATCAATCTCCTGCCCTGAGAGGAATGATTAGGGGTCAGGTTCTCGGGGAACTAATCGCAAAGACAATACACTGGTTCCGGACATTGGCACCGATTTCACCAGCTTTGAGAAGAGACTGCCTGATACTGGAAAACGCGGCTTCGAAGTTGAATTTCCCCCTGCCGCCATATTAGTGTGTGCTCTAAATAGGTAGTTTTCTTCCTACTTCATATTTTTCTCTACAATTACATGGGGAGGCGGTATTTTCTCTTTGCAATGTGTCTTGTTTCTTGGATTTCGTGGGTTCGTCGGTATACTGGTAGGTGGTTTTTATTGAATTTCAGTGGGAATTTTTAAGTTTTTTTTTTTGCCATTTTCTTAAAGACTTTCTTTTATGTTCTCGTTATCAAACCATAACATCTTGTATCACTTGCATCACGATATATCACTAAGATATTTCACTTGCATGATACACCAAATACAATGTTGTTCCTACGCGAGAAACAGAAGAGCAAAATTCATAGTGACTGTCAAACAAGAGACATAGTTTCAACTATATAATCAATCCGCTTCATGGCCTCTTTTACTTGAAACTTTGCATCCCTCCGAATATGATCGGAATATCCGCTGAGCTTGCCGCAGCATAGAATTATTTCAAACCCAGATTTCTCGCCCACTACCCATTACATGATCTTACCATCAAAACATCCCAGTGCACATTTACAAAGAAAATAGTTGGCCGTCTCTGTTTTTTGGGGTTGTAAGCTGCACCTTCAAAATGCCTTGAGTTCCATCATGATATCATGATTCGAATTCATGGTCACGGGCCTTGGAAGCCCTCTCTTCGTCGTCTACGTAACACGATGTCCGGTTCCAACGCGGGTTTCACCATGTCGAGCATGGCGGTTGTTTTTCAATGCCGAAAATGTTGTTTAAACCCAAGAGCTACGTGCCCCCAGGAGCCCACACAATCGGTTGTATTCTATCCACTCCATGGTAGATTCGCTTGGAACAAGATTTTGAGCTTTCTTGTCATGGGATTACTTTCGGCGAAAACGAATGACGGTGAAGGGCGAATATAGCTCAATCGATCGTTCAAGATGACTTGTATCTCGAGTTATTTACCGTGGAGACTTTGCTCAATCCTGGAAACTGGGTGTCTGCGATACAATGCTATCAGTTGACAGGATTTTATGCCAAATCACAAATAGTCACTCGGTTGAAAACATTCTTATGATGGGCTTGATGTCTGTGACACAGCCTTACGTTGGTCTGGATCGAAGGCCTTGTTCTATATTGAAATAACCAGGTGATCGGATGCAACTTAGTTCCCATATGCATGAAATGGTATTTAAAGTCTAGCAGTTGAAGACATTCAACTTTCTGATATTAATCTTATCCCACAATTAAACAACACCAAAAACAGCAGACCTAGTGATTGTACATATGGTATACAAACCCAAACACCAACCAACTCCATTGCAATGCAAAATACCACCCGATGTTCACACGTCAACCATTTCCTCATCCTCCTCATCCACCGCAAGAGCATCCTCAATACCCTCCGGCACCCTCCCACCCTTCTCCTTGACAGTCTTAAAGTACCCTCTCGCCTCCACACGAAGCTCCCTCGCCACACTCCTTCTCCCCTCCACATCACCCCCATCCCCATCCCCATCCTCCCCCTCCACAATCCTCTGCAACTCCACATCCGCCACCCACAAGCACACCATCCCCCTTAAGCACAGCAACCCCTCCATATCACTCCACGGCGGCGTCAACATAAGCTCCTCCAACCTCTCCTTAATCTTCTCTGGCCTCGACATCTCCATCTCCTCCTCCTCCCCTGCCTCCCCTCCCTCAGCAACATCCCTATACCTCGACCCCTCAATCAAAAGACTAAACAACGCCGGCTGAAACTCCACCGCACTATCCAACGGCAGCAATCTCTTCTCCTTCCCCTTCCTCTTCGTCGCCGCCACAACCGCCGGATGATGCGAGTGCAGCCTAGGGCGGTACGGAAAAAACAAAATCAACCTTTCCAAAAACTCCGCCGCATCTTTCATCCCCCCCTGCTCACGCCGTAGGAGTAGTTCCACCCCCACCCCCCAGATCCGCCGTATATCTACGTCTTTCCCGCGTATGAGACATGCGAATGCGCGCTCGGCACGCGCCCAGTCGCGCGATAAGAGGCTGCGGTAGAGGATGGTGGTGATTACGCTGAGGTGTTTGCGGCGGAGACTCCAGGCGGGTGTGGGGATGGGCGCGAGGTGGTGGTTGGCGAGGAGGGTGCGTGGGTGGGCGGTGTGGCGGCCGCGACGGGAGGTGGGCAGTCGGTGGAAGGGGTCGGAGTCGTCGGGAGGTGGGGACTCGCCGGGTGCGAGCGCGCCGGGGGAGAGCGGGGCGGGGTGTTTGTGGGTGTTGACGGGGGTCCAGGAGGTGCGCGGGGAGGAGTGGAGTGAGGTTGCGGCGGTGGCGGCGGCTTCGGAGGAGGAGGAGGAAGACGAGGAGTTGGAGGAGGTCGAGTTGCGTCGTCGTTTTATGGGTTTGGTGTTGGGCCGGACGGGGACGCTGAAGAATGCATGGTTTTCTGTGGGCGGGTTCATGGTTGTGGTGGTGGGGTGATGTTTCGAGAGGATCTAAGGAAGTATGAGCCGCCGCCTCAGATACATCACCGAACTTCGCCACAAGCAAAGACAGATATAAACCGTTGAATTCGACCGCGATATAGATAAAACATTCCCTAAGCGGAAAAGCCAGACGTGCGCAACAAACGCGCAAAAAAATCGCAAAACACAAAAAACCGTAGTGTACAACATCATCAATGCCAGTCCCTCCTTTCCCATTGCCTGCTGAATGTAGGTATATCTCACTGCCCCTCCAGTCCATTCCCGTCTAAAACATCTTAACATGTTCCGGTCGCAAATCCGTCCGCCGCGGCGCGATGAGCGGATACAGCTGAGCCAACAGAGTCAAAGCTATTGTCACATACCCATTAGTATTCGTCCCCCGATCTGAGGAGAAGTAGGAGTCGACATACCCCACATGAGATACATAGCAACGAACGTGAGGATCAAGGAGGACCGCCAGACGCTAGGGAGCAGGATATCAGCCTTCTTCTTCCTCGCACTTAAACATGCCCAACGAACGTTTGGTTCTCTCCCTTAGGCGCAAAGACATATGCCACAGCACAAGCAATGGCGACGATCACCAGGCCGACAAAGATGGTGACACTACTCGCAATCAGCTTGAGCTCCTTAGCTGCCGCCCCCCCTTTCCCCGGTGGTAGATTTCGTACCCGTTGGCCATATTGTAGTGACAAGCGAGCGAGTATAATGCGATACAAGTGTGGTTAAGTCGGCAGCGTTTAGACGGTATCGATTCCGGGGGTTTGTGAAGCTTCTGTTGGAGCTTCGATACCTACGCGTATGACGATACCCAAGTACCGCACCCCTAACCCTGACCACGTCTCACAAGCGGCCGGGTAAAAACACATACCAAGCCAGATAGCCAAGCCCAAGGGCGGCTCTCCGTGACTGCTTCCAACCCCACAAATCCTGGAAATGCCACACAAGCCTAGCGTCGAAGAATCCCGAACCATCGACAGCCTATCTACGACGACGACGAAACCGACACGACAAACCCCCCCCGACCTACCCAGCCTCGAACGTTTTCCCCGCGGTAGATCCTACACAACTACAAGATGACGAAGCGCACAAAGAAGGTCGGAGGTGCGTACACCACAGCTTCCACGGAGAGGGGAGGGGGAACTATTGTTGGAAGATGGGGAAACAGCTTGCTGACTTTGGGGGTGAAAAACAGTGACCGGTAAATACGGTGTCAGGTAAACAATTCCACCCCAGCTACACGAAATCCGTTCCTACAATCGATCCTCCGAATTCCCCCCCACATCAAATCCAGCATCCCCGACCGAAACTGCTCGAAACAGCACACACGAAAGAACGCAGTAGCAGCACCAGAAGCTAACGTCTTTTTGCCCACAGATACGGTGCCTCGCTCCGTAAGCAGGTCAAGAAGATGGAAATCTCTCAGCACGCCCGCTACACCTGCACCTTCTGCGGAAAGAACGCCGTCAAGCGCAAGGCCGTCGGTATCTGGGAGTGCAAGTCCTGCCGCAAGACTGTTGCTGGAGGAGCCTGGACCGTCTCGTTGGTTCCCCTATCCTACTCCCCCACAACAATTCCTCTAACGAGAGAAAAATTATAGTACCGCCGCTGCTGCCGCATCGCGATCCACCATCCGTCGTCTCCGTGAGCTTGCCGAGGTTTAAATAAAGCTTGCTTTGGGGATATGGGTTGGGGAGAGTCTTCTTTTTTTTCGGATTGCCGGTTGTGTAAAAACGGGGAAATCCAAAGAAAAAATTTACCAAATAAAAATGGGTCCATTCGGGAGTTATCATCATCTGCTTTTTCATCATGTGGTTGGTGTTTTTTTTTTTATCTTTCTCTTCGGGAAAACAAATGAGAGAAATTCAAAAGGAAAGGGGGATTTCCCGCTATTGGCGGATTCCGGGGATGGTGGTGTTTCGTTTCGAGGTGAATCAAGATACACAGCGAGTAATCACCTTGAATAAGCTCTACGGCAATTGAGCTGCTGGCTGGAATGGCTGGGCTGATACACTCGACCCATCGCACGTTGAAACTACTCAATTTTGGACCGGCATTCTTTCTGGATATTCCATTTGGAACGCTCCAATCTCAAAACTGCGTTCTTCTCTACTAACAAGCAAGTGTATATGAACAAGTTGGCCTCAACTCTCAATGACAGCCACCCACAGGCTGGATCCAAGTAACGAGAAACCGTTGGCCAGATGCCCCTAAAAACCCAAAAATAGAAAAAGAACAGAAACCAACGCCGCAAATTTCCCACCTTTTCCATTTAAAATGAATTCATGAGCGCATTTAAACCATTGCTGTATCAGTTAAAGAGTAAGTTCGCCGCCATGTCGATATCTCCTCCTGTCACATCCAGGGCGGCAACAGCCTCCTCTCTCGTGAATCCCAAGCCCACTAATTGTGCTATCACCCCTTCCGGATGCTTCAGTTTAACCTGCTGCTGCTGATGCTGCTGCTGCTGTTGGGCCTGTGCTTGCGGAATATCCCGTATTACTGGCGGCTCGACAATTGCACCTGTCCGTCCGCTGACTCTGCTTCCGCTCGGACCTTCAACCGTAGGTTCCTCCTCTTCGTCGCCAAATCCCTTGGGGATATCGCTCTCGCCTAAGAAATTCACTTCCTCATCCTGGATAACAAGGCATCCACGCTTCAGATCCAAAGTTGCCTGATGTCGCTTCAACATATCAAGGCCTAAGAGAAGTTCAACGGATTTCCCTTCCATCACCGTAAAGGAGCAGGCCAGGTAGAGTTTTCCGATCTTGATTTGAGCGCTGTGAACACGCCCAAGAATCTTTGCTGTGCCGACTCCACGCGCGATACCGGAGAAGCGCGAGTCGATAAGCCGCATGATGCCGCAGCGTTGGGCGCAGTCTGGCGACATTATCGTGGCCTGTGCCCCGCTGTCGACGAAGGCTTTGACAGCTATCCCGTTGACTTCAACAGGGATGTAAAGCATTGTTACGCGGCCGAAAGCCACTATTTGAGCGCGTTAGTAGCCTCAGGGGACAAGCAGGGAAGTCAAACTGGTACCTTCAGGGTGATGTTCCAGTGCAGATTGCAAGTTCTCCATCACTTGCTCCTGCCGAATCAACTCTTCGATCTTTTGCTGGGATTCGATGTTGAAGGGGTCTTCATTCAACATTTGCTACCTTGCCGTCAGCCTCACTCGTAGAGTAATGTAGATTAAGAACATAGACGCACGATCTCGCGCTGTTTTTCCCTCTCTGCCTCACGCTTCTGTCGCTCCATCTCCTTGAATATCTCGTTGAACTTCTGTGGATCGTTGACTGCATCCCAGAGCTCCGGGTTACTATCCTGAAGCTGTGTTTGCAGATGTGGATCGCCTAGAACCTGCAGCCGGATCATTTCAGAGTCGAGCTCGATCTGGCCCCGATGAGGCTGTTGTGGCTGTGGTTGTGCTGCGGCTTGCTGCTGCTGCTGTCGGCTTGAACTGCCTTGCGAGTTGCCAGCTGTATGTACTACCACCATGTCGTCGTCTTTCATGTTGTACTGCTCGAGCGTGCGCCCCGTGTCGGTGAGGAGTCTACCGTTGTAATAGAGATGCTGCGTGGTGGACGGGACAGCTGGGAGCTCGGAAGAAATAAGAGCTTTGAGGTCGGCGACGGAAATGGATCTCGGTACATCCAGTTGGAGGACCTGAGAGGCACCAGCAGAGATGGAGGAGATGTTAAGGCGCCTATCATGGATGATCAAATTAGCTAGCTTCTCAGCTTGAGATGGCGAGGTGGGAGCTCGAACATTGTGGGCGGTGGATAACAGACGCGACGACTCGAGTCAGATCAGAAGAAGAGGTGGAAAGGATGGGGAGAGGGAGAGGGAGAGGGAGAGGGAGAGGGAGAGGGAGAGGAGAGAAGGAGAAAGGAGAGAGTGTGAGAGGGAAAATGCAGGCGGTAAGGCTGGATAGAAGTAAGGTTGCCAGTGAGAGTTGAGGTGGAGGAGGAGGAGGAGGCGGTGCTGATGGAGGTGTTGAATGCTGAACGGGGATGGCGGGGTGAAAGGCGACATCCCACCTGGATCAATCAGCGGTCAATGGGCGACGTTAAGCTTGGAACGGCGACTCGTTGAATGTCATCCCGGCTTGGCCCTGCTTGCCCCGCATAGAGAGCAGATTAGCATGCAGAGTATTCCCGATACGATAGGTCTCGGATACATCTTGACTCTGGCGGATCCGCATTCCTGAAATCGGCGGGAGAAGAATGGCAACACTCCGCGCACCGTAGTGGTTCACAGAGAGTGTGGGGTGCGTCACCAATACATCCCACGGACATCGTCAGTTTCATGCACATGCACGATTTGCCCAAGAGGTAGCTAAAACGGCGGGTTTCGACCGTGCGGTTGGTTTGGTGGCTAGGGGACTGATTGAATGTGGAAGTGGATGGGTGATGGAGGGGGGCGACGGGGATCATGGGTTGGAGGAGGAAAACGAATTGTGGAGGTGTTTCCAGCTGAGAAGGGCTGCTCAGCAACGGCAAAGCACATATCTGCACCCACAAAACGCACTCTCCCGGCTCTGTCGTCGTCGTGGGGCGTGTAGCCGAAGCTTGTTATAACGTTGCTGGAATATTGGCGGAGAGGGGAGGGGAGATATCCAGATCGCATGCAGAGGTGTATGGGAGGGAGCAGAGTAGGGTAGGATGTGTGAGAGAGAGAAAGCCTCCTCGAGAGTGTCAATCTATGAGAGACCCGCAGAAACAAACCTTGCCGTCAGAACAGGAACAGCCCCTACATACAGAACAATGCATTGCCCTGTTTCATCCAGCTCCAAACATCCACCGCCCTCGGTATTCCTGCTCTCGAGAGATCGGCCTCGGTGCAAAATCCAACGAGCCTGTGGAGAATCTCGAGAGAACGGCGAAGAGACCGGCCATCATGCCGAGGCCGGTCGCCGGTCGCAGATGGCAGCGTGGTCTCACCTTGTGGCACCCCGGAACATAATTATGGCGATGCACGTTCCCCGTCCTCGCTTGGTTTTTTTTTCTGCTTGGCAGGAATGACGCGCACCCAATGCTTAATTGCACACCGGCCTTCAGATGCTCGAGTAAGGGTCTGAGCAGCTTTCCAGAGGGGCCCCTCGACCGACCCATCTCCAAACCGACCATGCAGTTGTCTGTCAGGAAATCGGTCCTCAATGGCAAACTTCGCGCTCAAAGACCCAGCGTACGTGCGAATTTCCTGTGAAATCGCCCAATTCCGAACGGACGGATTGATTGACTCATAGCTCGAGGCAGCTCCCAGCGTCGCAAGTTTCACGCTCGCAAACACAGACAAGAAACTACGGAGACGGCAAGCACGCCGCCGCAAACACAGACGGAGAAGTGGGGCACCACCACCACACGAAGGATGTGAAGACCAACCGAGTACGGCCCAACATGAACACCATAGCTACATCTGTTGTTAACGTAAACTCACCTGCAGGATTTCTACCTCTCCGTTTTGAGCTCCACATCTGGCAAACGGGAAGCCAGATCCTATCTTCAGAGATTTACCCCAACTTCAATTCGTCTTCCATACCTCGGCGGGTCCGCGGAAACAACGCCAAAGCACACCAAGAAGTCGGCTTTTCCAAACCCCGAATCTCTCGACAAACGGAATGAGGCATATGTCAATCGGCTTCTAGACAACAATGCCACCCGTGCCACCGCCGAGTTCCTACAACCAACCGACCCGGCATCTGTCAAGCCCAG